CGACCCTCCGATTACGAGTCGAGTGCCTTAACCACCTGGCCATGCCGGGCCACAATTAGAAATAATTATATAGTTAGTAAGCCAATTTATTTATGTACATTCTTTGAACAGGATAAACATAAAAATAATACTCACTGAAGATCTGAGTCATCAGAATATCTTGCAGCCACCTTCCATATTTTCTAAACAGTAAACTTAAATAAACTTATTTGATTTGAGGACGATTATATTTGGTGAGCATAATAAAAAAAAACTCTCATATTTGCAAACATTGCAACCCAAGAAACTCGTAGTACAGTTAAAGCTTTAATACTCAGCATCTGCTGGCCTCGGGAAATGCCAGATAGGCAAAAATTCTGGCTTACATTTAACTTATGATATTTTACAAGAAAAACTTTGACACTTTGTTAATGTTCTAAAGTACAGTATTTGTGTATCATCTATAACAATAACAGTTTTAAACAATAATAAATTTTGGAAAAATCTATAAACTGTATAAAAATGCTGATTTCTTACTAGAATTAGAAGCCATAACTTTATAATGTAAAAAACATTTACAGATAAAGTAAGCACAATGTGAATCACAGTACATACAGCTAACAACTGAAGCTTGTCAGTGGGATAGAATGTAAATAAAGCCATAGCAGTGACAGTAAGTGTCCCTAGCTGTTAGCTACAATTGCAAATTTTCGAGAGTGTTCTGAGACAATTCAGTGGGAATTGTAATGAATGCCCATTCCCACAACGAGCATTTGTATTTGAAGATATTGAAATTTCTTGTTACAAGAGTTTTCCAGACATGAAGGTGCCAAATAACAAAGATTTTGCTGTAAATCTATGAAAAAGTTAAAATACAGTAATTTTGAACAAACATTTGAAGATACCTTTATTTAAACTTAGGCAATCTCCAGCTATTTTTTGTTTCATATATATGTGTATTCCTGTGACTAGACAAACTACTTGTACCTGATGATGACAAACTTATCTGATGTCTTCTCATTGAAGAAAACTTCTTTAGCTTTCAAACAGATATAATTTCACACACACAAATACTTTGATAATTCACAAATGAAAGAAACTGAAAGGAACATTTAGAGAAGCTAAATAAAAAAAAAATCTTAACCCATATATTTAGTATTACATGATAGTCTAATTTTTGCTTTCTCCAATCATATTTAAACTTTATTTACAGCTGCTTTCCAAGGTAAGTGACCAAACCACTTGATGTGGCATCATAAGGTTTCAACCAGGTCTTGATCTAAAATAAAGTAAGTGCTTGAAAATCAAAAATAAATAATATATATTCTCAAGGGGTGATAGACTGATAGGTTCTTAGCAAAAATAAAACTATTCTTTGGAATGGGCAGAAAAGTTTTTTAAAAATCCACAAATGGATTGTTCTGTTTACATGCAATATTCTTTGCAGCTGTGCAGAAATGAAAGTATGAACTTTTTTCCTTCATAAATTACATAAAATATATATAGAAGTAGCATTCTCTATGAGACGAACAAAGTGTGTTGATTTTTTAGAATTAATATACATGTGCTATTTATAAAAAAACAAAACACAAAATCATATAAACTATCAAGTATTATTTTACATATTTATGACAATGCTCTTAAATATTGTATCCATAACTACACAGTACACAGTTTACTCAAATGCATTGTAACCAACCAAGGGAAGTAAATAACCATAACCCATTTTATTTATTTGATCTAATATCTTTTTTATATTATTCAATTGGACTAAATTCAAAGTCAAACAACATAAAAATAACAACAACTGGTAGTTATAACATTGTCTTTCAAAGTTTGAAAACAATTAGGGCATGAACAAAACTAGAAAGTCTATTCAGACAATAAAGTATTAACAAATAACAACGTTTGACTTCTCCACACTAACTGAGCTGTAACCAAATATATGAAAGAAGAAGCTTCAAGTATAATAGTAATAGAGTATTTTGGATTAATTAACATTGACTATATAGTCCTAAAGTAACCTAAATAAATCTTAGTTAGAATATTGTTAATATATTTTGTAAATGATTAGCTCAGCCAGGTTATAATCCAATGATTTCAAAACTTGTATCTTTACTTACACAAATGTGATTGATATGAAAATACAAACATTTCAGTTTCTTTAATTAAAATCAAATAGTTATAATCGTATTCATAAAAGATATAACATTGGTAAAAATGATTTTTGTTTTAAATTTTTTTTAAATCATTACTTATACAGTCATAATACTTGTATTTTGACTTATTTTTGATGTCAAGAATAGAAAAAAAGTCTTTCTTATGATTATTATAACTTCTAAACAATACTAACTTTGATGAAAACAAAGCTCTTACAGACTAAACACATTGTTAGTGTATGTAAAAAGCCAGCATGAAAATTTACCATAGCAATGTTTAATTGATGATTGTATTGTTTTATTAGCTTAGAAATAACCAGTTACTGAATAGGGCCTTAATTGGATTGCCATATATTCCAGCTATGTTGATTTTTGAAAACCTCAGAAATTTTTTATAGTAATTAATAGACCAATCAAATATAAACAGACATTGAATATTACTTTTTAATACCATATGGCACTGTAAGAATGTCAGGCATTTTTCTATTGGAAGGAAGGGTCTTAGATCCGTACACATCTATATAACATTAAGAAATAGTTATCAATTTAAAAAAAAAAAAATGGATGGGAGTTCAGACCACCTAGATATGCACTTGCTTATACAATATTAAAGAATACAGTTATTACACAAGCATAAATTAAAAACATAACACAATGGGGGAAAAATAGTAAGTAAATTTACACTTTATTTAACACTTAAGTAGCCAGAGGGTTGGCACTGGATGCTGCCAACCATTTGCTTTCCCTCTAGTCAGCAGTTCAAAATTAGTGGTAGTGGCAGATAGTGTCAGTAGTTTTGCATATTTAGTTGTAATGGGAACCTAACCAGAGACCCTCAGATCACAAGACACCTACCCCCCTTCTCATTATGTAGCTTTATGCTTAATAAACCAACAAAAGCCAATACTTCAATCACTTGGACAGCTGGAATACCTGGGAACAGTGAATAATAGGAAACCATATATAAAATTAATATAATTTTGATCACTTGATTATTTTTGTGACAGTGAATTTAATCGTAATGTGAGTGTTTGATTGTAGAAATAACTGAAAACAGTAATAACTGGAAATACTAAATTTATTAGTTGATTATTTTTGAAACATTAATCAATTAGTTTATGAGGCACTAATTGATGTAATGGCTGCTCACATATAGTTGATTAATAGACTAAATCACTTGGCTCTATTAATACTTGTGAAAAGCTAGAGATTTCATAAAATTTAAATTCCAGTAATGCAACCGCAAACATCTGTGAACAGCTAGAAATTTTGTAAATTTAAAATTCCAAAAATGACATCACTAAAATTTGCAAACAAAAGCTTTCTTTAAGATAAAAAATTCAAGAATACCACCATCAAAACTAGAGAACAAGAAATTTGTAGAATCTGAAATTTTAAAAATGCCACCAAGACATGAATAACAAGTAGTTAAGGTTAAGATATGGCTCCATTATTTGAAGGTTTGTTTTCTTATTATATATATATTGAACATTTTAAGTTATAGGTTACAGAACTCAAAATATGACCTTCCAAGGTTTTGTGCAACAAAAGGATCTAAAGATTACAAAATATGATTTTTTAGTAGCAACAAGAGACAAAGTATACATAGACGTAATTTGCAAATTTACCAAAAGGGGCAAAAATATTTAGCTGTGATATTAATATGGGTGTGTACATATGGTGATGTAGCACTACATTTAGAAGTGAATAGTCACCATGATTTCCCTTACAATTATCAGCTAATTATCAAACTGGTTATGTGATATGGCTACTCTATTTAGTAATTAATTAGAAATTCCGAAAACAACTGTTTTAAGTATATTGTTGTAAAAATGGAGTATATGCAAGGGCAGAGAGAAATGTTCATATTATACAAAATGTTCCACATTAGACATGATTAGAATTCCATTGATCCACATTTGAGTGTATCAGAAAGCAACATGGAAAATAATATGTGCATCTGAAGTATGGGAGTGGTACTTCTGCACATGAAGTGAAGGGTCTGTGACCCCTCACAACCCTACAGGAATATACCACTGTTACATACTGACATGAAAGTTAGCTTACAAGTAACTGTGTAGTAATCTCAAAGATGCTGAATATTTTATAAAATTCTTTTTAATCTTTTATACCAATAATGCATGTAGTATAGAAACTTATTAGAAAATTATAACAGTTCCAACATAACACCAAAAAAAACATGCATTTCCTCTTTTGAAAGGACAATGAATGGTACTTTATAATATTAATATATTTTACAGTTGACCTGCCTCCTGATGGCTCATTAGAAATTCTGTGGGCTCATAATGCTAAAAATCTGTTTTCAATACCTGTGGTAGCTTTGTACTTGATGAGAAAAAAATAGTTTAATTTTTTCATATCTCATAATGTTTTACATGACTTTTAATGTTGTTTAGCATATATTAGCTGAAACAATATCAAGATTTTGTGATCCATTTCTATGGTGTCACTATAAAGGGCATTGCAGATGAAATGACATAAGCTACTACAAGGATATATGTTTGCTATATGACTGGGTTAGTATCCTCTCACATTTACTTATAGGTTAGGGAGCTCAACTTGAAATCTTTGGGTCATAAGATGGAGTCCCATCATCAAACATGCTTGCCCTTTCAGCTGGGGGCATTATAATGTGACAGTTAATCTCACTTTTTATTGGTAAAAGAGTTGGCAGTGGATGGTATTGACTAGCTGCCTTCTATCCAGTCTATCACTTCAAAACTAGGGATGTCTTGTGCACATAGCCCTGGAGTAGCTTTGTGCAAAATACAAAAAACAAATAAATTACTTATATTGTACTTCATAAAATAAGTATAGGAAGGCATACACACATACATGAAATCTCAGCAAGCTTTTTTTATTCAATTGCAGCCTTACAACTCACCATATCAATAAATAAACATAGAAAACATCAAAACAATATATTAATGCAATGTACAACATTTTCTACATTCTATAATATAAGTTAACATTTTCTATTCTCTAGCTACAGTAAAAATGCATGCGTGACAGTAAGGGTTTGTTCCCTAGGCAGTTGTTTATCAACTCTACATGATAACAGCATAACTAATAAAGTATACAAGAGGCACAAGTCACTTCTATCTAGAGTACAAGTTACTGCACATTACCTTGTCTATTGAACATTATGAAATAAACATACTTTGGTTAATACTGGATACTCCCCCTCCCCCATGATGACACAAAATACTTGTAAATAAGCAAGCTTTCCAGAATGAAGAAAGTATAACAAAAATTAACTTCAAACTATTCTCAACACTGCAGGTTAGGATAAAAAGTATTTAACAAATTTCTTACAATATGTATATGTGGACAAAACTGGTCTTATTAAAATTACAATCTTGGATAAATTTTTATCTCCAGAGAACTTAATACTTTGAAGATTAAAGAGGTTGTCTCTTACACACTATTAGTTAGACATCTCTTTAACAATATCACCAAAGGCTTAGATTTCTCTACAAAATGGCTATTCTTACATATCTTTTGAATCACATCATATAAAAGCAAATATCCCTATAACAAGTCTATATTTAGCCATCTCTTGAATCATATAAAAAGCAAATGCCCTTGTAACAAGGCTATATTTAGCCATCTTTTGAATCACATTATACAGAGAAAATATTTCTGTAACAATTTAGCCATCTTTTAAATCACATTGTGCAAAGCAAATGTTCCTGTAACAAGTATATTTAGCCATCTTTTAAGTCATATTGTACAAAGCAAATGTTCCTGTAACAAGTATATTTAGCTGTCTTTTAAGTCACATTGTACAAAGCAAATGTTACTGTAACAAGTCTATATCTAGCCATCTATTAAATCACATTGTGCAAAGCAAATGTTCCTGTAACAAGTATATTTAGCCATCTTTTAAGTCATATTGTACAAAGCAAATGTTACTGTAACAAGTATATTTAGCCATCTTTTAAGTCATATTGTACAAAGCAAATGTTACTGTAACAAGTCTATATTTAGCCATCTATTAAATCATGATATAACAAGTACGTGCCCCTACAAGATGTATATGTCATAAATCACATCATAAAAAAATGCATGACAGTGTAACATGCCTATACTTAGCCATCTTGCATCATATCACATCATACAAAGCATATGTCCCTGTAACAAGTATATTTAGCCATCTTGCATCACAATATAAAAAGCACATTTTTATAACAAGTTTGCAGTCAAGCATCTGTATGTGTTGGAGAACAACTTCTCTATACTTGATCCAAAAGCTTTATGTAACAAAAAATAATTAAAAACTTGTCTAATGCTCCTCTTAAGTTCAGTTAGCAGTTTTGTGAATACATGCACAATAAATATTTTCATAGTGATTCTTAACCCCCTTAATTTGAAGCTGACTAGATGAGAACTAACCCTGCTGTTCTGAAATTCCAAGAATTTTGTATTGTCATGATGACATATCAGAGCTTGAAATTAAGCTGAATCATTCAGTAAAAATTCAGAGTCCACTAAAATATCAAATGACTTGGCTCAGGGGCTATTTGTTTGTTAATGAAAAGCACAAGAAGTTGTGTGGGGCCTTATGATACTGTTTTTTTTTATACTTTTTTTTTCATTATTATATTTTGAGGTGTTACAGTATGAAAGTGTCCAGTGCTGCTTTAATAAAAGTTGTTGCATTGTCCCACAGAAACATATATAAAAGTATAATAATGCTGCATATAACATTAAAGAGCAATACTACTACTCTTAACTTATTACATTATCAAAAGAAGGCTCAGCTTTATAAAATAAAATTGAATGGTAAACCTTAGAGGAAGCAAGTATTGTTTAACAATCATGTTGAATTCATTTCATAATGTCTAGCAAGAATATTCAATACACAAGTAGGTTCAGCAAACAAACTGTTTTAAGAGCTACCTGCATAGGACAATAAATAATAATAAAAACATTAAATTGTAGATACACAAATCTTTTTAAACTTCCTTTAAAAAATTAAATATTATTTACTAAGATGAAAAACTAGCCAGATTTTGGAATACCATTATCACAGCATCTCACAAACATGGAGGCCTTTGGATAAGAGTAAGACTAACATACCAAAATATAATCTCCATATTGGTACAATCCATTAGCTGGGTTTTAACAGTAAATAATCACTGAATGTACAATCTCTGCAGGCTGAGAGTACTGACAAAGTTTAACAAACATCATACAATTTGATTAATAACATTGAGAAAATTACTTTGTCTTAAATGTTAGTATTTTTTGTTTTTCAGACTTTAAGTCAAGGATTTCTCACAAGTAAACTTGCACAGTCTTTTAAAAATTTTAAAAGCACTTGCAGAGCAATATACTCATTATAAGTGTTGGAAATATGCAATTCAAATTATGAGCAAGTAAATGTCATCTGGAATAGGACAACAATAAGTTGCAGTTTCAAACAATTCCTGCTTTATTTTTTTGTGTCATTTCAGAGTTTTCATCGATTTCTTCTTAGAATTTTGTTACACTGTTTCTGTGATTTGTGTTTTTAAGATGTATTTCTAGGCAAAATAGTAATATGGTTAAGATCCTGCAAAGTTTCCAAATAACCAGACCAACAGTAATTGCAAAATAAAAATGCCAATTTCAAACCTTGTATATGCTTTTAGTTAAAAGCGTGGAAGAAATGTTTTGTACTTTACTATATAACAAAGGTATGAACACTGTTTTAAAATCTCAAATGTGTAGGGGGAGTAATCTTCTAACTAGACATGGAAGCATTAAAACAATTGTAAAACTAAAAAAATAAGGTGGTGCAAATAAAGGCCTCATACATACCAACTTACAATGAAAAAAAAAGTTAAACAGCTTAGCAAAGCGAGGTTATGCACATGTAGTATGTATTCACACGTCTGTTTTTTATGTAAATTTAAGAATGTACAACTGTTTTCCTTGTTATGTAAAATTGTGAACAAATATTAAAATGGAAGATAAAATCTATTATTAAAAGTTAATATCAAACTTATGTTAACATGGTTGAAAAGGTAGACAAGTATCTTAATACCAAACAATTACACTGATGAATGATCAACAGAAAACTTATTCTATTTACATAGGCCCAGAGAAATTTCTGCTGGTGCAAACTCTCCTCCTTGTGGTTACTGAAATTTGTGTGTTTTATAAAACAGATACACTTCACTTTTGATCTTTGATACAATAAATACTCCAAAAGTATTGTGATATTACTCTGGGCCAAAAAAGGGGAACTATATTAGTATAACCTCTTCATGGTTACTACAGATATTTAGCCATCAACACAGTGTACAGCACCTAGAAGCCAACTTTACATTTACAACAACTTGGCGTTCATTTCCAAAAGGTTGAATGATTCTGGTTGCACTCTTAGAGCGACCGTGACGCTTCCAGCCATTTTGGCTGATATCAAGCTTAGTTGCAGAATGTACTAGATGTGTCAGTCCATGCGTTATGCTTTTTAGTCGATGCCCTTGATCTTTCTTTCCCAGTTTACTGCTGTTTTTGTTGTACAAAGGAAGATTTTCTATTTGTTGAAGTAAGGTAAAGCCACTGTTTAAGCTTAAACTGAAAGGAATTTTATTGGAGGGATTAGTGAACTTAAAAGTTTCCTTGAGAAGGAAGTTGTCTGAATCTTCTTGGACAGAAAATATTGATTTCTTTTCTTGAGTGTGCAGAGACTCATCTTGAAACTTTGCAGCTTCTGAAGTCATCTGCTGGTTGTTAGGAGAAAAATTAACACACAGATCATCACAAGAAATGGAACTGGTGAGACACTGCTCTAGGTCTAAGCTATCAGTGCTGTCTGTTGAAAGTACTGTACTGCTAATGGGGGAAGGTTGTACAGTAAGGGTGGAATCTTCTACTGCTTGACCTTGCTGTTTGTGTGATTTACTACTGTGTGTGTTATTCTTATCTGATTTGTTATTTATAGAGCTCTGACCACCACCTCCTCCACTCATATTACCTTGAGATGTTCCTCCTCCAAGCCCAGACTGCCCTGATCCTCCACACCCTTCACCCTGCCCACCTGTACGGTCTTCACTACTATCTCGTCTTCCTGAACTCTTTAATTTCCCCATCTTCCGTTTAAGTCCTTCACCATCATCATCACTGGCCTCCGAACTACTGCAACTAGTTGTTCGAGATCTTCCCATTTTCTGTCTCTGACCCATTAGACGCAACACTGCATGTGCCAGCATAGAGCGAGGACTGTGTTTTCCACTGGAAAGGTGTTTTCGAGAGTGTTTGGAACAATGAGTTTTTGGAGATGGTTCAGTATCTGATGCCACTTCTTCATCTATTTCACTTAGAAGCAACTGGGGAGAACTTTTCACAGCATGTAGTCCTCGTGCAGGAGATGGTAGGGTTTTAAACTTCTGATTTGGAAATGTCAAAACTGGAGATTGTTTTCCTGGAGATATTTTTGGGTTTACTGTGGCAGACTTTACACTGTTGCTATGGAAAAGAAGAGGAAACTTTGGACGTTGCATAACTGATTTTTGAATAGAAGTGTCCAGAGACCCAAACTCATGAAGTACAGGAATGTCAAATTTGTCTTTGTTATTGGTTGATGAAACTTCAGCAGATGACAACTTTACTGAGCTACCACTATCATCCTCTTCACGCACCACACTACACTTACGTGCTTTTGACAGATAGGACTGACCATTCTGAGAAACAGTAGATGAGAAGTTTGAATGATCAAGGAAGTTATTTGAATCCTGTGGTTTCACTATCACTCGAGGTGATATTAAATTCTGAAGCACAGGATCACATTTTTCCTGAGATGGTGAATAATCACTCGCAATTCTGCAGATAGAAAAAAAAAACACATTTAAACTTCATTAAATAGTCCTAGCTGTAGTTTACTGGATTAAAATGACACAATCTAAATCTGAAATAATAAGCTACCCATATTGTTTAATATGGAAAATTCATATGTTTTGTAAGCTTACTTTATATATAACACAAAAGAGTCAGTTCACAACATGTAGCCTGTAGCTGCATATTTGTATCTTACAGTGACCAGGTTTAGAATGGCCATTATTAGTTTCCTGTAGGCTTCTATCATACAGAATTCAATGTCTATCAACAATATCTGACAAGTTTGTATAATATACAACTAAATGCCCCTTACATTTTCCAGTAAATCTGTGTCGCATCACTGAAAGTTCATTAACATTTTTAGCAATGCAGAATAACTAAACTAATCCCATGAGTCTGGATTTACAGTTTCATATATATTGAGACATCAAGCATATTTGATGATTTGGTAACAGTGTCATTAAGGACCAATCACAGAATGATATTAGTCTACATACCTTTTGATTTAATTGTTTTTCATGACCAAATGGTCAAGCAAGAACTGCCACTTGAAATCAGAGTACTGTTTTTCCCTCTCATCTAGAAATTTGCCCCCAGTTTTATAACAATAGACGATGGTAAATAAGTCACTCTTAAGGTTTATTACACTGTTAATGTAGTTTCGATGATTAAAGAAATGCCAAATTCAGGAGAAGCGTGTGTGTGTATATAAATACACGTCTAATATTAGCATACTTATCTCCATAACAACATATATGTGTGTTGTATACCAGCTAGCCTGATTAGCCCTGGCATTAGGCCAAAGGACTCATAGGCACTGGATATGGCAAATGTAATATGGTTGACATATTATACATATTTTTCTTTGCTTTCACTCATAAATTCTTAGAATTACAAATGTAATTTACTCCTGTTGATGCCATGGTTGCTTGACCCACTTCAGGAAATAGAAGACTAGTTTACTTGTTTGCCAGTTCTTAACAATAGTAAGTTAATTCAAATAAAAATAATAAATAAATAATTGGTGTTAAATATAACAAATATTTTACCAATCTATACCATAAAATTCTGATTAGTTAATCGCTTAAATAAATTTGATAATAATTACAATTAACTTCTTTATCTAGTTTGCACCATAACAATTGTTGTTCATGAATACAGCACCTATACCACTATTATATCTTTTATATCCTAGTCAGCCTGATGAGCTGTGATATTGGGTGAAAAGCCTCATTGGCACTGGATATAGCAGATGCAGTGGGGTTGACATAATATATTCTTCTTTGCTCTCACTCATAAGTTCTTAGAATGTGTGTGGGTGTGCATGTGTATGTGCTATAAGGTTATTTGAAAGAATATCCATTGTTGGTTTAAGTAACAACTATTTTGAAAATAACCACATTTAATACATAAGCAAAATATTTAGTAGGTATCTTGAAGTATAACGTAAAATTCTACTTTAGGAAAAAGTTAATTATAAATCAGTACAAATCTTTAAAAGATTAAACTTCACTTTCAGGCTTTTTCACAATAGATGAATGTGGTAAAAAGTTTGAAAGACTTGAACCTTCAGAATGAATTAACAAAACTTATTTTCTGTTTCTTTTTTTTGTTGTTGTTGGGTATTATCGCTTCAGTATATGGAATAAAAACAACATCCTACTTTGATGTTATGGCTAATGGTGACAGATCAACTCTAGAACTTCTGCTTATCTTCTGGGCCTTCTCTTGTCGCTGCCCCCGTAATTTTCTCTCCGCCAACAAAAAGTATGTGGCAGTGATGTGGTTGTATTCATTCTTTTGTAATGCTCTAAACAGTCCATGACCAAAAGAAAAATACTATTCTAAAAAACAAGATACAACAATGACAGTCAAAAAATAATTATTAAAGTGTCTTATAAAATTTTACAAATTAATAACAAAAATAGCAGAGTTATGAAATGTGGTTAAAGTTATGTTTAAATACATGATATTGGTTATGAATGTACTTCAGATCAGAAATGGTTATGATTATTTATATAAAAATCAATTACTGGGTGCTTTCTGGCTTAATGCTGTGCAAAATATTTTGAACTTTGATAGTCTTTTTTTTTTCATTCTCCATTGACCTTATAAACAAACTATGACCCTTTGCTGATATTTTTAAAATAATTCTAAATACACAGATACTTATCTGTAGTTTTGATTCATGCTTAGAAATGAATTATCATTTAGGTTATTTGTCAAATTTTGTGCTTTCTTGTTTAGTTTGTAAGTTGTGCTCAAATATTTTTTTCAAATATATCTTTATTTTCAGGGCTTTATTCTAAGCTAGCCACTCACAAGGAGGAGCCACTGGGACAGTACTTTAGCTGACTTGGTAAAGTTGTGGCATCCTGTATATGACATATAGCAGAAGTAACATTGCTTAAACCCTGTTAACCTTTTTTTATTATTGATAACTCTTTTAGTTCAATATATTAAATGTTTAAGTACAAGATATAGGGAACTTACTCTAGGATCTCCTCCTTTGTAGCAATATTGCCCTTTACTAACTTTTGGATGATGTATGCATGATCCTCTTCGGAGAGGTGTTCACGAGAAATTAAGGGTAGATAGTCAGCTGGCTGTATGAGATCCTCAGAAGTAAACCAACTATTGTTAGCAATCTCTTCTAATGCAGCCCGCTGTTCAGGATCTCGCACCAACATACTTGCTATTAAACTATCACCATCAAGGAATAATAATAATAAAAAAACAAAAAAAACAAGCAGTGCATTATTGTGATGTCAAAACCCAACTAAATACTGAACCAAATTCCTATTACAAAAAATCACTTCTTAGTATACTGTAAAAGTAAAATCACATACACGCTTCAAATATCTAGTACAATATTTGACTTCTTGATTTAAAAATTCCTGTGCCACTTGTGTTTTATCTGACACATCTTCTGTACAAGCTCTAATTGGCATATGTTTGTAGCATGCATGTATTTTTTGTACAAACCTTGATTTGAATTAAAAGATAATCCTGGAGAAGTAACTACTTTGCCAAGGTGTGTAGTAAAATGTTATAACACTAGTTAATTAAGGAAATGTACACAACAACTTATTACAGAGCACTGATGCGAGTGAATGTCTTTAACAGAAGATTGATACTAGTCCATTTTCATCCAAGTACTCTCTATGAAAGTGAAAATACAAGCATGCTAAACCTTAACCCACAAGTAAATGTATCTATTGAATCTCATCTTGTGTTCTTTATTACACATTTTTCAATGATCTTAAGTCCACAAAAATTAGAGAGATAAAAAGACTTTATCTTAATTATACAGAAGACAGTCTTCCTTAACCTATTAAAATTGTATTACTAAAATCAGAATAATTTTATTAATTACACTTACTTTCTGCATCCTTTGGACACATGGCTTGGTATTGTGTATTTACAATCCATTATCATCGTCAGTGTCTCACTATCATTGACTTCCTGGAAGGGAGCATAGCCACACACCAACATGTACAGAATTACACCCAAGCTCCACACATCTGGAGTGAAGAGAAGAAGCCTACCAGTTAATGAGCGTGAGAGAAATATGTTTATATAACAGCCTCCTAATTTGTACACTAATGTAATGTTCTGATCTTATCAGTTAAAATCCAAGACCTTTGTATAGTATGCTTAAACCAACAATTAAGTTAGAATGTGTATTTTAATAACATATCAGCATTACATTATTTATTGTATAATAAAATTAGAATTTCTTGTGTAAATAACAGAATCGGCCTTTGGGCAAATGTTTAGATAACATGAAACAATGCTTTCTCACAGTCTGTCTGTTAACTCTTTCAGCACGGGCTTGATCCCTGGGACTGACCTTGTAACCATTTTGTATTTGGTATAGTTTTTAAATTAGTAAGTGAATGTTAACAAGATTTGGTACATTATCAATGATTTCATATGCAAAATATTTATATTTTATTACTGAGTTTTAGGGTTTGTAAAGCAATGTTTTTTTCATGTCTTTTTTTTTCTTTTTTGCATGTTGCCTATCTAACATGCAAAGTAATTTTCATTTTAAGATTAAAAATACTTTTATGCATCAGAAAACTTTCAAATTTCACATGCAAAATCTCTATAATGTCCAGATAGTTATCAAATGTTTCTTAAGAAAAAACTGTTATTTTCAGTAATTAATCTCTGTACGGGTTTGGTAGATTTGATCGATCTTGTTACCACCATAAAAAATTAGGAAATAAATATAAATTATACCTCTTTCATTCTAAAATAAACACAAATTATAACAGAAAAACATAAATGTTTAGACTAAATAGCATATATCTTGTAACATTATACATTTATATATATTTATTATATTGACCTTTCAGCCATGCCTAGCTAACAATAGGGAAGTTACAATGATGTGGCACACATGCAATTATGTTACTATATCCAATAACATAAAACTGACCTTTGGTCTGTACAAAGTAACTTGTACAAAGTATTTTGTAAAATACAGTCACATTTCAATGATTATACATTATATATGTATATAGACTATTGCTTTTTTGAAATAAGTTCTTAAACTTATTTTTCTTAAAACATAGAATAGTAACTAAAGAAGTAATACAAACAATTATCTCTTTTAGTTACGACCTTTGTACTCGGTTGCTGCTTGATGTAGGTTGCTAAGCCTTTAAAAAGTTTGCACGTGGAGGATATATGAAACAAATTTTTTTTAGGTTTTATATATACATTTGAATAACTAAGAAATCATAAATTACTACATCAATACCACAGAATTCCACTATAATTTATCAAGCTTAGTAACTAAGGTGTATTTTAGTTTAAAAAAAATATGAAATTTTGAGCAGACTAAAGACACACCCCACCTCTTTGAAATATTGGTTCAAAAGAAAAACAATGGCACCCAAGCCCATTAAAATGGCTAAGAAAGCCACTAGGGGACATTCTGAGCTTCCGATTGGTTGTTCATGTCATATATAGAAGTAAGTGTATATAAGGGACTGATTGTAAAAATGGAAAGAAGTAGTTGAGGTGCCACTGTGTTTGATTTATTATATGAGCAGTATCTTAGTAAATAGAAAAGATAATACATTCATATTTTATTTTCTATCTTGTCAATATTGGTAATTTAAGTTTCTAATTCATACAAAACTATAGACTTAGTATTTTGACTTCACAAACATCTAACTTGAACCAGTGCTCCATTCAACATACCATGTGACACGCAAAAATCGATGTTTATCTGAGTTTTAAAATTAAGAAATTGAGTAATGTATAGTACTAAAATTTGAATTATAATATAGAGTTTGATACCAAACTTAATGACATAAATTCATGAATAG